TTGAAAATCGGAGAAGGGGGGGGGGGGAAGAATCCACGGACCTCGGACAATAGGGGTTCTTGGGAACCCCTAAAAACTATGCAGCAGTCCCAAAAAAAAATCACAAAAAAAAGCTGCCAGAAAAAAGAGCATGCGACATTGCGCGAGAAATTCATCTGCACGCGGATTGGACGGCGGGCGGGCGGCGGCCTGTCCCTGACGGACATTGACGCGAGCATGAAGCGCGGGCACGGCCGAGGCACGGCCGAGGCATGGCCGGGCTGCTCCAGAAGCCCCATCGCTCTGTCTCTGTCGCACCCGCGGGGCGTCCCGACGGGTGCGAGAGAGACAGAGCGACGCAGCGACCGTTCGGACCGCACTCCGCACTGTCCCCGGGGGCCCCCGAGACCTCGGGCGAGACGCAGACGCGGACGCAGACCACCGCGCGGGCAGGCGGGCGGGCAGGGCATAGGCCAGGCAGCGCCCCTTGCACGTGAAACGGAATAAAGAATGCTGAGAGGACGCGGCCGACACGACCAGAGACCGGAAATACACGTGTGATAAATAATGCTCATCATATGCGGGCGGAGCACTCCTTTGAATCCGGCCTTAAAAAGGCCGGATAAAAAGCGAGGCGGGCCGGGGAAGGGGCGAGGGCACCGTGCCGCGCATCAACAATTCATCCACCGGGGCAAAAAAAAAAAACATGCAAAATGAAAGTGGGCGCGCTGAGGAGAGAGAGAGAGAAAATCAGTGTCTTGCCAGAATTATTCACCGCCCCTTTTAGCGCGGCTTTTTGTCCCTTTTGGCCGTGCGGCGCTACACTGCGGGGCGAGGGGGCGTGTGAAGCTTAAAGGTGCCAGGCCAACGCGTGGCCGGTAGACTGGCTCCGCTCAGTGCGGCCGTCGGTCTCTCTCTCGCACCGGTACGGAACGCCCCAATGCGTGCGAGAGAGAGGCACTCTGAATGAGACTGCAGGTAAGCAGCCCGCCGGCCGTCCCAGCTACCTCGCGGACCGGCAGGTGGCGACGAAGAGTCTGCCGAAAAGAAGGCGGACGCTCGAAAGGGCAGCCAAAGGGCGGCCATTCAGCCGGGAACGCCCGGATAGACCGCGGCGGGGCGGGGCAGGGCGGGGCGGGGCGGGGCGGGGCAGGGTGGGGCGGGGCGCCGAAAGGCTGCCCCACTAATTGTCCCTCGCGGGGCTAGGCCGGGCCGAAGGAGGACGCGAAGAAGGACAAGGAAGGAGGTGAAAGAGGATGCGAAGGAGGACGCGAAAGAGAACGCGAAACAGCGGGTGAAGCAGTACACGATAAGGAAGAACAGTCCGAGAACGAGAAGAAGAGGAACGAAGAGCGGAAATGAAAAGGATGGAACGAGACGAGTGCAGGACTCGACAGGGACTCGCGCGCCCAATCCCCGCCTCTCCAATCCACTCGCAATTTCCTCTGCTAGCAACATCTGTTCCCGCGCCCCGCACCTGACTGACGGCCCGGCCCGCAGCCCGGCAGCCAGCCCGGCAGCCAGCCCCGCGGCGACAAGCAGGGACAAGCAGCGCCCAACGCCGCCACATTCAAAACACGCATCGCCACAATGCACGCCAATCAGGCGGGGGTGCCACCCCGCCCGCCCCGCCGATTTGCGCCGAACGGCCGCGGGTTACTTCAATCAATGGTACCGCGGAGGCGCAGCGGCAGCAAACGGGAACCGGGGGGTTTGGGGAGGGGGAAAGGGGGGGGGGGGTGCAGCGCGAGCGTGGGCGTGCCGGGGGTGTTGACCCGGAGCGTATCGGCCGGGCGGGGCCTCCGGAAGCAGATAAGGAGTCGCCGAAAGAAAAAAGACGCGAATGAGAGGAAAAGGGGAATAGAAGCACGCTCTCCTTCTGAAAAGTTGAGGGACAAAAAGAAAACAAACGGGAAAACAATTATTTACCCCGAATGCAACAACAACTTGAAATTGGGCGGGCTTGCCGGGGCGCGTACCGCAGGGCGTGTACTTGAGAGGGCGTACATCAGGGCCTCGCCGGGGCCCCGCCTCTTTACCGTTCGCTCGGCGTGACGCGGCGACGGCGACGCGGAGCGACGCGATGCGACGCGGCGGGCCTCGGGATTACGGGCCGCGCCGCCGCGTCGCCGCGGCCTTTGGCGGAAACTTTGCCCCTCCGCTAAATATTCGTCGTCATCCGCGCCGCCGCCGCCACTCAGCGCGCCCGGGCCGTCCTGGCCGCGCCGACGGCAGCCTCACGACAACCTCGTCGACGACCGCGCCGTAAAACTGTAAAGCCCGGCGTCTTCCAACCCGAAGCAGGCCGGGGCGGGCCGAAGCAACATGTGGCGGCCCCTCGGTCGCCCTTCGGGGTCCCGGGGGCTTGCGGCGGTGCGTCCCGGAGCCCTCCCTCGAATAATCCGACCCGACCTACGGGCTTCCGGACCGAGCTTCCGTCGCGCTGTCTCTCTCGCGCCCCTTCGGGACGCCCCACGAGTGCGAGAGAGACAGAGCGGGGAAAGCAACGTTCGGCGTGCTGCCAATCGGGCGAGAGGGAGCGGGCATGCCGCCGGATGGGATGGCCCGCCGTCCGCCCCGCATAGACAGCGACAAACACGCACTCGGCGGGGCGGGGTGGGGCGGGGCGGGGGTGGGGCGGGGCGGGGCGGGGCGGGGCGGGGCGGGGTGGGGCGGGGCGGGGCGGGGCGGGGTGGGGTGGGCCCGGTGCACTCCGGCCCGCGTAAGAAGTTTGTCCGACAGACAAGTCGGCCCGCTCACGTGCGGGTCTCGCGACCCTTTTCACCCGGCCAGGGCTTCAAAGCAAGATAATGTTTTACTTTTCGACAGAAGTGCCATACCGGCGGCCACTCCACGAGAACCAGAACCACTCTGCAGCAAAAGTCTTTTCCCCATTCACTTAGTGTAATTTCGAGTGTAGTTTTCTTTATTCCAGTGTGCACCTGACATCGGAGTTTCCTCCCGGGGCTCGGGGCGCGTACGCAGACCCCAGTCGGGCCACTGCCCCGCCACTGCCCGGCCGCTGCCCGGCACCTCGTTACCGCCCAGACTCAGGTGACGACCGTACGTCACTTACGCCACATCGGCCAACCCGCCGCGGCACAGTGGGCCAGAAGACCCGTGGAGGCGGCCAAAATCTAGGACGCGTTTTGAGCTCCAGAGTCGCTGAAGAGGACTCGAAACGATCGTGTGACCCCACCAATGGACTGCTTTTCGAACGAGGAACCTATTGGTCGGGTCACGCGCTCGGTTCGAGTCCCGTTTAGCGACTCTGGAGCTAAACGCGTCTTCAGTTTTGTCCGCCGGCGCCGGTCTTCTGACCCATTGTGCAGGGTCAACCCTGGGCTGGGCGAGCCCTGGACAGGCCCAGCACCACGGCAATCCGATCCCAACGGAATATAAATATTTTTTTTTAATAACAAGGAAGCAGCGCTGGAGGGTGAAGTTACTCCAGACGGACTATCGCGGCCCCGCCGTCATCCCGAGCGTGCTCCTCATCGGGCCGAACGGACGTGCCATTGTGTCCGCCGATCATTACGCCCTCGCCGCCAGCCAGGCCGCCAGCTCGGGCGGGGCGGCGCGGCCTGCCGAGATCAAGACGGCATTCATCGGGGCGAGCAGCGCGGGGCAGCGCGCAGCGGCAACAGCAGGAGGAGGCACGGCGCAACGAGAGAGAGAGAGAGAGAGAGAGAGAGAGAGAGAGAGAGAGAGAGAGAGAGAGAGAGAGAGAGAGAGAGAGAGAGAGAGAGAGAGAGAGAGAGAGAGAGAGAGAGAGAGGAGAGAGAGAGAGAGAGAGAGAGAGAGAGAGAGAGAGAGAGGGGGGGGGAGAGAGAACGCTACGCGGCTCTTCCGAGAGCTTTAATGCGGCGCAGTCTTGCGCGGCCCGGACTGGGGCAGGCAGGCAGGCAGGCAGGCAGGCAGGCAGGCACCGCCGAGACGCCGGAAGCCGTGCAAAAGGACCGGGACAGTGGAGGGGCAGAGGGAGGAGGGACGGAAGAACACTCACTCCACCCCGTGCAGCGTCACACACACGCGTCGCAGCCCCAACGCAGGCTTGAGCTCTACAGCCCGCCCGACTAGAGGCACCAGGAACAAACACTAGTCACCTCAACAGTGCACCAATAGGTTCCTTAGAGCATGTTTTGGTGTATGTTTCGAGTACCATTGGAAGACTCGAGATCCAGAGAGAGAGAGAGAGAGAGAGAGAGAGAGACGAGGAGAGAAAAGTTGACACGTGTTCAGAAAGTGTGTCCACCCGACTCGTGTCCCACAGTGTGGCGACGCGCACGCTCTGCGCCAAGTTCCGGCCGAAGTGAAGCTCTGCGGCGCGTGGCGTGGCCGCTACACTACAACACGAGTCGTGCGTGCGAGCGTGCGTGCGGCCCTCGGCCCTCAAATCCCTTCCGGTAACTTCCCTTTATCCCGGCGGCAGCGGCGGCGCCAGAGCGCGAAAAAAGGGTGCCTCTCCTCGCTGTTTCCGGTCCGTCGGTCTGTCCGCCTGTCGGTCCGCCTGTCGGTCCGCCGGGCCGTCCGCTCGCCCGGCGCCTCGCACACTCCATAATTGGACTATTTGCAGAGGGCCTCGTGCGAGTTATCCCCGAACCGACGCGGCGGACGTGTCGCGGGGAAGACTGCGCGGCGCGGGGCGAGAGAGACGGCCAGAGGCAGCGAGCGGGCGCGAGGGAGAAAGCTAGCGGCACGGACGACGGGCGCCTGTATCGGGACACGGGATGAGCGCGGCACGTCCCAGTCTTCCTTCCAGTCGGGCGGATCCGCAAGCGGCGCGAGCGGCGAGCCCCAAGCCAGCCGCCCGACAACCGCGTCACACGGAGCGCGGGTTACAGCACCCACGGGCCACCGAGGCTGAGTAACAGTGTGCCACCGCAGCGTACAGTGTACTCAACTCGGAAAACAAAACGCAGCGGGGCGAAAGCGAGGCGCCCTGACATAACCCGCCACCTGTTGACGTGGACGCGGGGGCGACGCGGCGCGGTCCAGGTGACGAAGTCCCTCTGACTCACCTTGTTGCAGAAGTCGGCCGACTGGTCCTGCGCCAGCGCGGTGAGGGTGACGGTGTGCGCGAGGGCCAGCAGCACCCCGGCGAACACGGCCTCCTGGAGGCGCAGCGGCAGCAGGGCGTACGTGACGTAGATGAAGAAGAGGGCCGGCGCCATGGCGGTGGAGGGCGCCGGCTGCGGCACCGGGCCCTCGCCGCACTCGGCCACCAGGAAGACGAGCTCCAGCACCAGGAACGTGGCGCACACGGCGTAGGACACGCCCAGCAGGTACAACTCGTTCATGGCGGGCCGCGCCAGCAGCACCATGAGCGCTGCAACAATCAAAGAGGGTCGGAGTTTGAATTTTACAGTGTGACGTTGGTTCTTGGGAAATCAAGAGCTACACTCAAAGTGAGAATTTAAAAAGAATTGAATTTAACGCAGTAGCTGAAACTTCAGCGAAACGAATCCGGGGCGGCGGTTCGCGGTGGTCGCTCTCCGGCGTCCACGGCCGCAGCCTCCCGCAAAAACGGGACGGTGCGCCGCGCGACACGCCGAATCGGATAAGTAGGTCCTCGCGCCTCAGATCTCTCTCCCTCTCTCTCTCTCTCTCTCTCTGCGCCTTCCTCGCTCCTCAGGACAGTCGCTAATTGGAAAAGTTGCTGCCGCTTCCGTCTGCGGGACGCTGGCATCAAAGCGCTGCAAACACCCACGCGTCGCCGGCCTTGCTTTACCTTTCATTCGAAAATAAGAAAGAGCCCTTCGCGCGCGGCATTGTTGTCGGTGAGGCTTTTCGGACGCGGAGTCGAGAAGTACAACTGCATGAGGACGGTACATGGGAGGCACCAGTCTCTCTCTCTCTCTCTCTCTCTCTCTCTCTCTCACTCACTCTCTCTCTCTCTCTCTCTCTCTCTCTCTCTCTCTCTCTCTCTCTCTCTCTCTCAGGCGAGCGCGCACACACACACCACGTGCCCGCAATCAAATCCCTGCTCGTCGGCCCGAGCCTGTCGTGCTAATTCATTCAACGAAACAAACTCGTCCTCCGTGCCGGACTGCGTCCTGGACTTGGCCCTGCCCGAGTCCTGGACTTTGCGGTCCACCTTGTCCGGCCCGGCTCGGCACATCATTAGCGCAGAGGCAAAGGCGGGGGCCAGCAGAAGCCGGCCTCGCCGTGCGCGCCGCGTCCCGCGTCCGCTGTCTCTGCCTCGGCTTGCTTCGGCTTGGCTTGGCTTGGCTTTGTGGCGCTGTGTGTCGCTTTGCGGCTGTGTGGGGACGTTCCGAACGGTGGGCTGTCTCCCTCGCACTCGCCGCGCGCCTCGTGGGGGTGCGAGAGAGAGAGGGGGGCCAAGTCCCGTCCGATTAGTCCGCAGGGAGGACCGGCGTCCACTTACCTGGCTGCCGTGGCCGCCACACGCCCGCCAGGCCGGCCGGGCCGGACAGGACGGCACACCAGGAAATTGCCCTTGCCCGTCTCCAGCACCACAGCGCTCACGGCGTGCGGCACAGCAGGGCGGAGTGCCGCAGACTCGCAGAGGACGTCCGGTATTTGGTTTGCGGCGCCGCCTCCCCGCGCTGTGCCGCGCCGCTCCGCGCGCTTTGGCCTCGTTTCCAGTGCGGCGTGCTGGCGGGGCGACTTGCAGTGCCGGTGACGCCCGCACGCCGCCTCGGCCTCGGCCTCCACGGTCACGACCACGCGAGGCTTCCCCGCGCGGCCGGCGGCCGAAGTCGCTCGGTTGGCCGCGCTGCTGAAGCGTCGCAGCCATGGCCAACTCGGTGTGGATTGCGAAGCCCAGGCCTGCGCGGGGCGGGAACGGGGTGGGCTTGACGTGTAGCCTTTCAAGGATGCGGTCCGGAGGGTCAGTGCGGTCGCTGCCGCGGTCAGGCCGGCCGTGCCACCCGCTTTTGAAGTCCCGCTCCAGTGCCGTCCCGAGGTGGGGCGGGGCGGGGCGGGGCGGGGCGGCCAAACAAACACACTGGACGAGAAGGAGCCGGGCCGTCTCGGCCACTCAATACTCGGCCAATAATTTATTCATGACGGCAAACTCGGTGGCGTGCGTACCGCGGCGACCCACCTCGGAGACCAGTGCCCCCCCCCTTTTCCCCCTCCCCTTGGCTCTGGAACTGGAGCCAGACTCATCAGCCCGATTGGCCAGGCACGCCAGCCGCGCTCGGCGTGCTTGGCAGGCAGCGCCGTGGCGCTGTGGCACTGTGGCACTGCACTGGAGACGGGTAGGGATGGCTGCATGCACTCACCCCCCCCCCCCCTTTCCCCTCGCCGCCCCCGGAGTGCCTGCCTTGCCTCCCAACGCCCTGCCGTCGCGGCGGCACGGCGGCGCGGCCGCAGTGTGGTGGAACTACCGCCCGCCGACTGCTGTCCTACCCAGCGCTGACTAACTCCGAGAGTCGTTTTCCCCGCGCTGTCTCTCTCGCACTCATGGGGCGTCCTGTGTAGGTGCGAGAGAGACAGAGCGAGGCAAACGACTGTTGGAATCAGTCTGCATCCCCATTCGGCACCACCAGGAATGGGCTCGAATTTTCATTCATTCTTTATTCTTTGGCCGCTTTCGCCAGTTCCGACATCGTCATCCGAGTGCCGCCCGAGTGGGCTCTCCACCGAGCACAGGGCCTCTCCATTTTCATCAGTGTCCCTGCCACCCGACACCACGAGTGTGGCAGTGTGGGTGGCGAGGGCGTGTGTGGGTGTGTGCGTGGGACAGGCACGTGTCGGGGCTACTTGGTACACCACAAGGCGCGTGCCCCAGTCGGGCCCCACCGGGAATCGCCCCGGGGCGCGTGGTGGGCCTGGCAGTCGACGCGGCGGCTACGCGCGTGGGAGACACGCCGACACGGTCTCGGCCGATAAAAGAAAAGACCCATACACGATAAGACGAAGCCCGACGCTAGGTACCGACTGCATTGGGCCAAGGGCAGCCGGGGGGGGGGGGGGACCGCAAATAAAGGGCTGGTGTCACAAACGCAGTAAACTTTGCGCCGCACCTTCGGCACGGTCTAGCCTCACACCCCTGCGGCCGCCTAGCCGGCCTAGCCTCGCCCCGGGCCTCGGCGGCCGTTACTGTGACCGGCCGCAGGACCCGGCCGCCCAACCGCAAAGGGGCGCGCCGGGCCCGCTGAGGGTGGAGGCGGTTCGGCGCGGCTCGGATTACCAGGCGCCCTCTATGGTCGACCTCTTTCTACCTCTTTACGCCTTTTCCCGCTGCCCGCGCCGCCGGGCCGCAGCGGCAAAAACTCTAGACGCGATTTGAGCTCCAGAGTCGCTAAACAGGACTCAAACTGAGCGTGTGACCACACCAATGGGTTCCTCGTTCGGAGAGCAACCCATTGGTGGGGTTCACACGTTCGGTTCGAGTCCCATTTAGCGGCTCTGGAGCTCAAAACGCGTCCGGGATTTTGACCGCCTCCGGCCCACTGTGGGACGTACCTGAGTACACGAAGACGCACGAGGTGTGCGTGAGCAGGATGGCGACGGAGCTGGGCTGGCCGGCGTAGTGCACGGAGCCCAGGTGGAACAGGGCCAGCATGAGGCACAGCCCCACCAGCACGGCCAGCAGGTGGGTCATGTGGGCCTGGTTGGTGCGCAGGAAGTAGCGCTGGTACAGCATCTCCACCTGCAGGAGAAGAAGACCGTCAGTCAGGCCGACGACGACGCAGAGCGTCCGGAAGCGGAGCCCTCCCCCGCCCCAGCTAGCCCCAGCTAGCCCCAGCCCCCAGCACGGCCCCTGGCCCCCTGGGGACGCGACACTGCATTGCCGGGGAACGGAACGGAAACGGATTCGCCCGAATGGCCGCCCTGTTGCTTGCCTTGCTGGCCCTGCTGGCCCCGCTGGCCCTCTGCTGAGGCCAGCAGCAGCGGGTCATCGCTCTGTCTCTCTCGCACTCACGGGGCGCCCCGCATAGGTGCGAGAGAGACAGACGGTCTGCAGCAGCCGGCCGCAGACGGGCGGAACTTTCCCGTCGAATCGACACGGCCGGGCTGACCACGCTGCGGCGCTGCGAGCGCGAAAATGCGAACGCGCCAGGGCCCGCCCCGCCAAGGGTCAGAGGTTGTTTCTTTCTCTGGTTTTCGCTGAAAGAAGCAATTTCGCTGAGTAGCGCCACGCCGCGCCGCGCTGTGCCGGAGAGGATGGGAGGATGAGCTGCGCGCTGCGCATCAAGGGGGCCGCAGACTGGGCGCAGACGCGCGTCAGTGTCAGGCGGAGCGACTGCGAGACGGGGCAGGTACGGTGCAGAGCGCAGGGCGCGCGGGGAGGGCCCAGCACTCCGCTCCGCCTTGCCGATCCCCCTGTCAGGGCGGCTGAAGCGAGGCCGCCAGCGCCTTCAGCCCGCGACGACGAGATAGGCCACGCGCCGAGCACCGCGGCGCGGCGGCCGGCCCACTTGTGGGCGTTTGGCGCGTACCTGGAGGTTCCTGAAGCGGTGCGTGCGACACAGGCGGCGACAGCGCTGCTGCACGGCCCAGCCCAGCCTGGCGAGGGGACGCTTGGGCTTGTCGCGGTGCCGGGCCTTGACGCCGCTGCCCATCAGGTACACGGCCTCGGCGTCGCAGGCCACGCGGCCGTCGCCGCGCGCCGCGGCCGTCGAGTCGCCGCCGTCCAGGGCCTCGGCCGCGTCGCCGTCCGCCAGCTTGGCCTCGGCCCAGTCGTCCGCCCAGTCCTCGTCCTCCTCGCGGATGCTGGCGTTGCGACTGCCCATCGAGCTCTGGAAAACAAAAACAAGACGATGAAACGCAAACAACAACACTGCGTGTGCGGCCATGTCGGCAGCGGCACAATGATGTTCCACGGCTATCTGCCCGCTGCCACAACACTGCTGCTGCTCGTGGATTTTCACGCCTCGTCACTGCCCGCCCCGCCCGCCCCGCCCCGCCCCACCCCGCCCCGCCTCGGACGGTAATCCCACCCGATCCCACTATCGCCCTAATGCCGCGGCCCCACATCGCCCAGCACATCGCGGACGGACATCATCGACGGGGCAATCATACCGGACGCGCTGGGAGCGCACGGCGCATCGCCCTGTTTCCCGCGCAACGACCATTAATTTAAAACCTCGTCGAGCTGCGACTAGTTCCCGCGGCCCACGTGTAACGCAATATTGCCCGCGATGCGAAACAGAACAACAAAAGAGGTCCGCGGAACCGATAAAAAGTTGTTCATTACTGCGTCATTGTTAGTGCGCGCCACGTACGGCACACGAGTAAAAACCCACCCATACCGCGGCGCGGCGGTTTTCAACCTTTTGCGACTCGCGACACATAAATTGCGGGCAAATATTATCGCGAGTCCACAGCTGAACTTGAACCATAAAAATGTTCTTGGCCAGGAGAAATGGTCTTGGCCTGGAAAAGTGCCCTTGGTCTAGAGAAAGGCTTTTAAGCGTTTTAAGCTCGAGCACTGCACAGTGCCAACCGAGCAGGTGTTTGTGAAAGGGCGAGGGGAGGGATGATTTCCCCCTCCCGGGTCAGCCACGCCACTGCGAGAGGCGCATGGCACATTCTACGGACACTGTCGGCGGCAACGCGCGTCGCGACGACATCGCCCCGCCGACGCCCAAATTCTCATAACGGGAATATTTGTCGGCAACGAGGCGGCAGGCGGGAAGGCCGGCAGTCGCGGACAAAGCGGGAACAAAGCCACGCAGGCGGGCAGGCGGGCAGGCAGGCAGGCAGGCAGGCAGGCAAGCAGGCAGGCAGGCAGGCAGGCAGGCAGGCAGGCAGGCAGGCAGCGGGGCAAAAAGGAGGGAGTCCCAAAGACGGAGGCAAATGCGAATGCGCAGGGCTTTGCTGGCTCGCCGCGCCGGCCCGTCTCTCCCGCGCCTTTACATACGGGGAACCTAATACAATATGTTGAGGGAACAAAAGACAATAAAGGGCAACGGGATTGCCGCTCGGGAAGCTCGTCGTCCGAATGCCGGGGCTTTTACGGTGGCGCCGAGCCGCGCCGCGCGGTGTGTCGTGCACTACAGGTGGCAGCGAGACAATAAAGGAGGACGACGGTGGAACAAAAAGTCCCGGAAACGACAAGAAGTGAGGGCCGCCGCAGCCGGCTTGCCAGTGGCGTGCCAGCCCCGCCGACTTCCCCGCCCCGTTCAAGTGCCCCGAGTGCTTCCCGACGTTTAAATCGGCAGCCCGCGCAGCGTGGAGTGCGCCGTGCCGGTGGCAAGGCGGGGCAATTATTTCGAGTCGAGCACAACGGCGCAGAAAAGATAACCGTAGGAGCCCCCGGGGGATGGGGCGGGGGTGGGATCCCAGAGCAGGCCTGCGGGCTGTTGCTTGCGAACAAAGTGCTTTCGTCGCTGTCTCCCTCGCGCCGCTACGCGACGCCCCGTGAGTGCGAGAGAGACAGCGCGGCTTGTTCGGAAGCAGCCGCCCGGCTCAGCCAGTTATACGCGGGCGGCGCGCCTAGACAAAGGCGGGTGTGTGAATCATCGACACGGCGCGCGCTGTCACACTGTGCGTGCTTGTGTTGCCGCGACGCGTGACTAGCAGACCGACTAGCGAGCCAGGGCCGCGCCGCGCTGTGTGCAAACGTTTGGAAAGGATTATCCCTTGGAATGGGCGGCCGGAGCGAGAGAGATGGAAAATGGAATGAAATCCGAGTCAAGGCGAAAAGCAAACAGTGGGCTGGCCGCGCCGACGCGTCCCGCCGCCCAGCGCACGGTCCGGCGAGGTCATGCAGAGCAAGCAGCTTCACGCACGTTTCAAAAAAAAAGAGGGAAAAGTGGCCGCGGTAGAAAGCAATTTCCTCTCTACGTCGACCCAATCTATGATCCAATTGTGTCTCTTCTCGGTCCAACTCACCCCCAGCATGCGGTTGCCGCCGAGGCCGCGGCTCCGAAACGCCCCCGGCGCGGGCGGCGCGCCCGTGCTGCCGCCCGTGTTGAAGTGCTCGATCACCTCCCAGTTGGACTTCCTGGGCGGGCCGCCCCCGCCGCCGCCACCGCCGCCGCCGCCGCCCGCGCCAGCCCCGCCCCCCGGCAGTTGCGGCGAGTGGGGCGCGGGGCTGTGGGGGCCCAGCGAGGGCGAGGACCCGGGGGACGAGCCGGGGGCGGCGTCGCTGACGTTGGGCCGCAGCAGGGACCGCGACGACGACTCCCGCAGCTCCAGGCCGCTGAGGGTGCCGCCGATGCCGCCCAGGCCGGCCAGCCCCCGGCCCGGGCCGCGCAGGTGGTGGCGCAGGCTGGCGCAGCGACGCCCGCCGCGGCCGCTGGACCCGGCCACTTCCTGCACAAAACAACGCATTAATAATGGCGTTCCTGGCCAGGCCGCGGCCAGGCCGGCGTTATTCCTGTGGAGATTGAAATACTTTTCCGAGTCGGGGCGGAGCGTGCGGCGCACCGCCCCCTGCCCCCGCCCCGACACTCGCCCGGCTCCTCCAGGGGCTGCACGTGAAGAGCATGTCAAACAAGCCACCGGTGCGACCAAACACAGCGCGGCAGGTGGCGGAGGCCGTCGGCGAGGAGAGGGGCGGAAAACACGTTAATGACAGCAGTGCCAGCCGGGGCCGGGGCCAGGCGGGGCCAGGGCAGCCAATCGACTCGGAGCGACTCACCTCCTCCTTCTTGGGCCCGCGCAGGCTGAAGCGCCGCTTCCACTCCCCGGTGCGGCGAGTCGAGTCATTGCTCCAGCTGCGGAACATGGCGGAGGCACTGCCCGGGCACTGCCACTCCACTCGCACCTCAGCCGGGCCGCGCCAGGCCGCGCCGCGCCCACGCCGCGCGCCCCTCACTCGCGGCCGGGCCGGCCGGGGGCGCCATGCCGGGGCCGGCCGACGCGCACCTCGCGCACCGCGCCCTCCTAGAGGCCCTCCGCGAGGCCCTCCGCGAGGCCCTCCGCGCCCTCAGGCCGAGCGCCGCATCGCCGGCCGCGCCTCCTGGAACAGAACGCAGAGGAAGCGGGTCAGAGTCGCTCAGCAAACACTCAGGCACACGACCGCACTGCGGCAATCACGCCCGCGACGATCAATCATTCAATTAATCGTGCAGAAACAGAGGGACGGCAAGCTCGGCCTCAGTTTTTTCTCGCCAGTGTATACCGCAGGGGTGCGAGAGAGACGGAGTGGGGGCGGGGCGCGCGGCAACGGGACGGCAACGGGACGCGAGGGTTAACAAGCCGATGGCGGCGTTCTCGGCCGTTTCGCTGGCAGGACAGAGTTTAGGGGCCATTAAGGGTGCAGGGCCGGCGAGGCGGCGGGGCAGCGGGTCGGGTTGCTTGGCTGTGCTTGGCCGTGTTTCGCCGAGCTGCGGGGGATTCGTCTGTCCGGCTGCGTGAACGGGTAGTCGAGGAACAATCATCCGGCCGTTCGCAGGCGAGGCTGCGGCGCCACCATCATCCCCCCCCCCCTTTTTGCCTGCAGGTATGGAAGAGCAGCGACTCCACGCCTCAGCGAGAAGTGAGTGAAATTGCGATTCGGACGTCCATTGTGCGGAAGATGTGCCTCATTCATATGGTTTGGAATGATCCAGAGCCGCAGCATTAATATCCCTCTCTCACGCGCGCGCGCGCGCGCGCGCGCGCGCGCACACCACACACACACACACACACACACACACACACACACACACACCCCACACACACACACACACACACACACACACACACACACACACACACACACACACACACACACACACACACACACACACACACACACACACACACTGCTGTTTTGAGAGCTCGCGTTTCCAATCCGCTGCTCTTTGATTCGTTTCGCGTAATTCGCGATTCGCGACGAACAATCGGACGGCGACAATAATGCATTCCCTCGCCGACCGTCCAACTCGGAGCGGCGCGGAGCAGCGCGGGCCTTTCTCTCGGTGTGCGCACTGCGCGACGCGCGGTCCGAGGCGGGGCGGGGCGGGGCGGGGCGCATGGCGAACCAATTAGTAGGGGCGTGCACGCCAGTCCAGCGGGACGAGGCCGGAGAGTCGAGTCAGACTGAAAATAGCCAGCCGCATTGTTATCAAACCGGCCAGGGACTTTTTACGCGCTGTTTTACCAACGGCAAAAAAAAAAATCCGTCACTCTTTTGTCTAAACACTGATGAAAAGTACTGGTCCTGGCGAAAGAGACCGAAAGCATATCCAAACATACTCCGGGAGCCTTTCAGCCAGCTCTCCGACCGAACGTTGAAGCTACAGGTTCATTGCTATGCCACTGGTTTCAACACTCTTCTTGCTTTTGGTCGAAAACAAAATGACTTTCAAAATATTTTGTTGTAACTTTGTGTGTGTGTGTGTGTGTGTGTGTGTGCGCGCGCGAGTGTGCGTGAGATGGATGACGATGTTTTTCTCCCTCTGTGCAACAGGGCCTCCGACAGGAAGTTGCCTTCCCTCGCGGCGAACAGCGTCGCACAGTGGGCCAAGACCGGTGGAGGCGGACAAAACTGTAGACGCGTTTCGAGCTCCAGAGTCGCTAAACAGGACTCGAACTGAACGTGTGATCCCACCAATGGATTGCTCTCCGAACGAGGAATTCATTGGTGGGGTCACACGTTTGGTTCGGGTCCT